GGACAGTGCCTCTGGTTCAGACCCCATACCTGCCAACCTTTGCAAGCTTGAGATCGGGACAATGACATACCTAGGCATGAAAATATATACACATACAGAGCTGCGCTTCGGTCCTCTGAGCTGTGCTGAGGAGCTCTAACAGAGCGAAACAGTTGCTGTCTACAGATTTGAGTACACATGTACTGATGTAGGTGTAAGGCATGCAGCAAATGCACTTCTGGGTGCCAATTACCACCCTCGATATCTGGACGGTCCCGACCAAATCGGTATGGTTGGTAGGTATGAGACCCTCAAGCTGTAGTCTAAATAACATACGTAGGACTGGAGTACTTGGTCGGTGCGTAGCGACTCCGGATCTTGCGGGTCAACACCAGCGAAGTCTGACGGATCCTTCAAACCTGGAGGACAAAGGAAGAGGGAGAGGGAGAGAGAGAGAGAGAGAGAAAGAGAGAGAGAGTGAGAGAGAGAGAGAGAGAGAGAGAGAGAGAGAGAGAGAGAGAGAGAGAGAGAGAGAGAGAGCATTAGACACACCAGGAGTAAGTACCCTAAAGAGTGAGAATGGGAGAGGGGGGAGGCATCAGCAAATGATATGACACAAAGAGTACAGAGCCTCCAGGACTGAGCAACTGCAGTCCTGCGATGACGGCAGAGTTTAACATCACATGACATGACATGGTTGACTGGGCTACACTACCAAACAGTGCAAAGGGAGGCTGTGACCACCGGAGTGTTGAATCCAAAGTAGAGTTTCCAACAGCCCTGCACATATCATGCACAAGATGCAGACGGTATGTACGGGTTTGTCTTCATCATTAGGCCATCATTTTTTATAGCTATGTTTCGTGTCGTCCGCACGCATACGTTTTGATTTTTTTCGGAAAAAATAAAAAAATAAAACATGCACAGTGAGTGTACGATAGTGCGAGTCATCAGTGTGGACAGGTTGCATACGGCGAAGCTGGGATTCAGAAATGGCCTCTAGCCTAGGCCAGCGTTGGTAAATCGTTTGTTCGGCATCTGGGAGCAATATTCTATGAGCTTACACCAGACCACATTGATCGCCTAAGCTGAGAGGATGCGTCGTTCCGGAGCTCTTTGCACCGCTGCTGAAGTCTGAGTACAATATTCCAGCGAAGCATAGGCACCAACGGTTGCCTCCTCTGTCCAAAGTGAATATTTTACTCATGCTGATAACCCAGATGTTGTGCTTCGATGCACGATTTTTCTTTCGAATGTACACCATGCACGAGCTATTGTGCTATGTACAGTGTATACACCTCTGATGAGCCTTTTTTATTATTTTGCAACTTTTTATTTTTTTCCACCTCTCGCATATGATTCTGGAAGTTGAACTGACGCGAAACATAGATATAAAAAATGATGGCCTTATGATGTGAATTCACATCCACACACCTGTGATGGTTAGGAGAAAGTTGATTTCGCCTTCGCCGTCCGCCAACGTTTTGGTCAAGTTGTGAGTGACGTCCGGTGCCAAAGACGCTATGTCCACCTCACAGCTGTGCATGCAGCATAACAGACAGACAGACACACACACACACACACGACACACATATGCAGACAGTCAGTCAGCCAGTCAGGCAGGCAGGCAGGCAAGCAGTCAGTCGGCCGGGCCGGCGGGCAGGCAGATAAGCAGACAGGCAGGAAGTCAGCCAGTCAGACAGAGAGACAGGCAAACAGGCAAACAGGCAGACATCCTGCAAGAGTTTAATTCTCCACACGATGATACACCAGTAAAGGTCCAGCTGGAAATCCATCACATAAAACTGTAGGTGTGCAGTTTGGCTATCTACACTATTGTATGAGACACAGACTGAGAGACAAACGGATCCACACAGCAGCAGAAGCAGCCACACCACCACCACCACCACCATCACCAGCATCAATATCTCCAGCAGCAGCCACATCAACACCATCACCATCACTATCACCAGCATCAGCATTTGCATCACCACCACCACCACCACCACCACTGCCACCACCACCACCACCACCACTGCCACCACCACTGCCACCACCACCACTGCCACCACCACCACCACCACTGCCACCACCACTGCCACCATCACCACCACTGCCACCACCACCACTGCCACCACCACCACCACCACCACTGCCACCACCACCACTGCCACCACCACCACCACCACCACCACTGCCACCACTGCCACCACCACCACCACCACCACCACCAACATAAGCATCTGCTACTAACCTCCCCATGAAGTCATCCTTGGATGCGTAGTCCTTATCAAACACCGTCACGTAGAGAATGTCACTGGCACCATCGATCATTCGCATCTCAAACTTCTCCTTCCATTCCGGATTCAAACTCTTGGTGATGATGCGACTTTTCCACTTCTCGGCGCCGAGGCGGAACTTGCAGTACGGGTCACTGAACCCGTTCTCGTCCATAGCGGCTAGCTGTGAGCCGGACAAGAGGGTAACAGAGAGAATACTGCGTGCCACGGCACCGCATTTG